TCATTTAAAATTAGATATGCTAATCACATAAAATCTTTTAAAATTCCCAAATACAAAAATGACACTGAATTATCAAAGGAGGTTTGGAGATTAGAAGATGAAAACTTAAACCCGGTTGTTAGGTGGAAAATAGTTAAACAGTGCGATGCCTATAACCCTGTAACAAAACGATGTAACTTGTGCTTAAACGAAAAGTACGAAATTTTATTTTTCAAACACCCAAATTTGTTAAATAAAAAGAGTGAAATATTATCTAAGTGCCGGCATAAAAACAAATTTCTTCTTGCCCAATTTGACACTGGCGATTAGCAGTTTTACAACTATGCTTCTTTTTTATTCGTTTTGTTTTGACGTCGGAACTCATTCTACTGCTGTTTTTGTATTTTGTATTTTTTAACGGTTTTTTCTTGATATGTATAATATATATGGCTGAAGATTGCCGATAGGCATGAAACTTTTAGTTCCATTATAAAGTTGTATTTTTCTATTTAATTACACTTTATATATATATATATATATATATATATATATATATATATATATATATATATATATATATATATATATATATATATATATATATATATATATATATATATATATATATATATATATATATATATATATATATATATATATATATATATATATGTATATATATATATATAAAATCTTTAAAATATAAATATAAAATCTTTAAAATATAAATATAAAATCTTTATAAATATAAATATATATATATATATATATATATATATATATATATATATATATATATATATATATATATATATATATATATATATATATATATATATATATATATATATATATAGATATATATATATATATATATATATATATATATATATATATATATATATATATTTATATATATATATATATATATATATATATATATATATATATATATATAATAAAAAAATTAAAAACGTTTTTATCGAGGTTTTTTATGTTTACGAGGTTATTTATTTTTACATGATTATATAAAAATTGTAATATTGTTTAATCAGCGAAATAAAACTTATAATAATAATAATAAAATAATAATATATATAGGTTTCCTTCCAATCGACTAAAAATTGATTTAGACGGTTTCTAACATCCTTATCTCTATCTTTTCGCATAATTTTAACTTGATCAACATTTATTTTTGTTATGACCAATTAGTATAGAATCTATAAATTTTTATAAATATTTTATCGTTATAAGATATATCTATACTATAGATATATCTTATAACGATAAAATATTTATAAAAATTTAGTCATGCTCAAGAATATTATTTGTCGGCGATGTATAATGATTGGCAAAGAATATTTTTAACGATTGTTTTACCTCTTTTCATACATTACAAACATACATTTTTCATACATTATTATTAATTAAAACAATTCCCTCTGAGCCATCGGGCTAAATGTACGAAAAACAAAACAAAAAACGACAATTTGATACAACGAACGACGATTTTATACAACTTCTTTGAGTTAATTTTAATACAAGTTTAATTTTCATTCATTTTTTATGGTAGAAACAAAAGGTCGAATTTGAAAAAAAATTTCGAATCGAAAAAAAATCTTTTTATTAAAGTAGAGTTTGGAATTGTTTTGTTATAAACAATAACTCTACAATAACGACGTGTAAATATAAAGATATTTTAACAAACGAAACTTGCAACAAAGAGCTAAAATACAATTAAAAACCAGCTCAGTGGAAAATCACTTATATAGTAACCATCGTATTTTATTAAAGAATCGAAGCTTCCATGTTTAACAACCGGTCATTCATCTATTAAATTTGCATTTGCAAACTCTCACTTATATTTGTTCAAGTTCGCAGAGATCTAGAGTTTTAAAAGAATTCATGTGTAACTTTGTTCTTCAAATAGGTCAAACTGAAAGTAGTGCTTAAATTTGACTCATTTAATATAAAGCAGCCAACTGAATAAATAATACAGCCATAAAATATAACAGCAAACTGAAAGTAGTGCTTAAATTTGACTCATTTAATATAAAGGTAAAAAAATAATCTTTTAATCGAAGCTGAATTTTGCCATCTAACAAGAGAAGGATGGAAATCACACAAGGGTGGATCCATCATGTCTTCCTTCCTATATGGTGTAATAACCATCTGCGTCTTTTTCCGAAACCCACGTGCGATTTTTCACTGGGTATAGCAATAAAAATTACGGCCTCCACATTTTCTAGGTGTCCGAGTTTTTAGCAGTATTGCAACTAGTAAAAAAAACTTAATGCAGGCAAAAACAACCAGAAAAAAACGTAATATTAAAGAAAAATAATAATTCAAATGTATTAATATTTAAATATTAACCCTCAACTATGCAATCAACCTTCGAATATGGATCGAATAATGATATCAAACACTATCAGGCGGAATCATTATTTAAATATGATTGTAAGGCTCTATTCCATAAAAGGTTGGCATCCTTTTTTTTTATATTTTCAATACCCTGGTTAGGGCAAAAGAAAAACTTAATAAAAAAAAGAAAAACTAAAAGTTTATAAGCTGAATAAACTCAATACTTTTTATCAGGTTTTTTTAAATTTATTTTAAATGTTTATACATTTACATTATAAACAGCCAAAATTAGCAAATTTCATTTCAGCATATGGCTGAGCCGCAAACATTAGAGGTTGTAACTCACGTATAGATATTGAACTTATAAAAAAAAAATCATTTACTGCTCTCAAAGGTGGAAACGAAACTGTGCATTTATACAACAATAGCAATTATTTAGATACCTTGGATTTAAAAAATTATTTTATAATATATAAAGTTAATTAGACAGTTTTATTTCTTATTGTTCAGCTCGTTTTTTATTTTTTTGAGAGCGTTAAAAACAAATTTTGAGGCCCTAAAAAAAAACGTTGACTACAAATACTTAAAGTTGGCTACAATACGTTTTGAAATGCTTTTAGAGAAGTATTGTAGAGACATGCCCTGAATTCAAACTCGTTTTGTTTTATCATCAGTTCTGGAATCGAAAAGAAGCATGCTCACTTTGAGTCTTTGATTTTATTTCCTTTCAAATGTTTTTTATTGGATTAAGTTCTGACCTGTTGCTAAGCCACTCAAAAATAATAATTAATTTGCTTGAGAATATAAGGTAACGTGCGCTGGGCCGTTCAAAAACAATAATTAATTTGCTTTATGTAAGGTAACGTGCGCCATCTTGCATAAAGAAAGTTGACTGATAATTTTCGAAAGGCTTTGTTTTTTAACACCTAAAATATCGTTCAGAACTTATTGCTTCTTTTTATGAAGAACGTATAGTATTCCTGCCGCAGAATTTGAAAAAAATGCATGTTGAACTGTTTTGCAACAAATGCAAAAAAAGGTTGAGCTGTTTTGTTTGAATAGTTCACGTTAGGCTTTAAAATGGCCTAGGATTACCATGTTGCTTGTCAGCACAAAAATAACTGCTTGCGACCGTTAGTGTGAAAAAAAGAATTCCTTCCAGGTATAAGCATTAGTCACAAGAACAATGATTTACCGTACTGCTGTCGGACGAAAACACTTTTTCACAGCGCCAAATACAAGTGCATCGTTCCCGTGGTTTTGACCAATTCAATCTTAAATACATTCAAAGAATAATGTATAGAATATGTCAAACATAACGTGCATGTAACAGGGTTGCTTTAGTGGTAAACAGAGGAGAGGAACACTTTACTTTCTTTGTAAAAATAAAACAACAAATGCTAATTAAGGTGTTTAAAATGAAAAATTTTATAACCCTTTTGAAGTTCATCAATCAACTTTTTAATGGTTTCTCGGTGTAAGACAACGTGCGCTATCTTGCGCAAGTTGCCGCAATAAAAAAAACAAAAACAATAGCATGCTACTTCAGCAAAGAATTTAATGTGTTGGAGTGGCTCAGTAACAGCCCAGATCTGAAAAAAAAAAACGTTGGGAAGGAAATAAAATCAAGGATTTATTGAGGGTGCTTAACTTTGATTCTAGAATTGATGACAAAGTAAAAGAGTTGAAATTCAGGAAATGTCTCTGCATTACTTTTAAAAACTCTTTATTAGCATGCTGAAATGTATTGAAATGGTACTTAGGAAAAAAAAGCAAATGACTAACTATTAGATAAATATTAAAAATCAATCTTATATTTATGTTACATATTCTTGATTTTTTGAAAGAAAAAAAACAACAAAAATTAAGTCAGTCGTCCTCCAAATTTCTGCGCAGTTGAATATTCGTATCTATATTTTTCATCGTTAGCATCAACATTGAGCTATGTTAATAACCTTTATCTTATTTTTATGTCTTTTACATAGTACACTACATATTTTATTTTAAATACATATCATATGCATTAAATCGCTCAACTTTAAAACTGAGACAATTTGTTAAACTAACAGTCTGAATAAAACTTCGAGCATCACGTTCTTTTAAACGTTACACGTTAATTCAAAGATATACGTTTTTTAAACGTTACACGTTAATTCAAAGATACACGTTTTTTAAACGCAACTTTTTCATCTATTTAAGAGTTGCATTATTATACATCTTGTATAAACTTTTCGTTTCATGTTTTATATCTTTTATTCATCTATCTAAAATATTATTTTTTTGTTGCAATTTATCATTCATTTTGTGTCAATTAAAAAACATCTTAAAAACATTTAAACAGTCTATCTGGCGTTTGTTCATCGTCTGAAGTTTATTTAAGACGTAAACTTAGACGTCTTTTACACTCTTAACAAAGAGTTTTAAATTAACATTTTAGATGTTTCTATTTTAAAACAAAATTTTTATTTGGAGTTCTTTTTTCTTTAATTTTATAAAGTTTCGAATAAAATAATAAAAAATAATTTGTTTATCAAACGCATGATTAATTTTGAAAATGTTTTTGAATTTTGTGTCAGTTCAAATTTTTTTTTATTTAATTTAAAAAACCTTCAGAATTTTGCGTTAGTTAATTTTTTTTAATTAAATTTTGTAAACTTTACTTAATTTTATGTTAATTTAACTTTTTATTATTTGATTTTGTTGCAATATTTCAGCACAAAATAAAATATAGTTCGAAGAATCAGGATCAACGACACTAAAAAAATTATTGTTTGTGGAACATCTAGAGCCATAGGACTTGTGTAAGTTAATAACTCTGGTCCAGTGATGTAGCTTCTGTTATTATAAAAGCATTCACGATATGTAGATATTTTAGTACACCTAAAAAAAAAAATACTCTTGTTAAGAAAAATTTATGAACATAAATGTTATGAATTTTACCTTGTTGCTTTTTATGATTATTAAAATGTGTATATTTGATAGGGTAGTGCGGGGCTAGTTGAGCATAGGGGCAAGTTGGGCAACTAAAATATCTCAAAAACTATTCATCCCATGGCAAAACGTCTAATGGATAAAAGATAGGTACTTAAAATGGTAACAAAATGCGCATCAAATGGTTGTTGGACCGCGGTAAAGTAACATGCACGGACACTTTTTCGATTTTGGACCAAAAAAGTAAAAAAAAATATTTTTGCCATTTTTCTCTTAAATGCTTAAAGAACATTTATCTGGAATCACTTAAGTGTTTATATTTTACCCATTTATTTGGCTATTGATTATACTTACCCTTTTTTCCCCAAGCCTTATAGTTCTTTTTATAACCTAACTGATGTATAGACTTGTCTAGTAAGGGTAAGTTAAGCAGATTTGATAACGATTAATAAAACGGCTCTATCAGACGCAAAGTTAAATTTCATTTGGTGAATATTTTAAGGTCCATTCACACTTTTAAATTATTCATTATAAAATATTCATAACAATTATAAGGTAATATCTTAAACCTTTTTTTTTTAAATATGCATTTATAATTTAAAATTATTTGATTTTTACGTGGTCTTAAAAAAAATCTTTGAGTTGAAAAGTTTTTGAATAATTTTTTTAAATTAATCTTGTTTACTATGTTTATTATGATAATATTATGATAGTGTGCATATTTAAAAAACATATAACTTAAAATTTATATTATATAAACATATAATTTAAAGTATATATAATCAAAACATATATAAAATATGATATTTCATTTCTATTTTGATTATTTATATTATATATAAATAATTTATATATATATTATTTAATATTACTATAATTAAATAGAAAAGTTTAAATATTGGTATCTTATAGGAAAAAAGTTGTTAGTGCAGCTGTTAAAGAATTTGACATCAAGATAGGATAATCACTCTTCTCGCTTGCATTTTGAAACACTATACTTAGCAAAGGAGAATGGAATAGTCATGTTGTCTTTCCCACCACACTGCAGCCATAAGCTGCAGCCACTAGATGTATAAGTGTTTGGACCTTTTAAAAAGTACCTACCAGTTGCACAAGATGCATGGCTGGAAAAACCATAATAATTTATGATATACCAAAAATTGTATCTGATTCATTGCCATTAGTTATAACGTGTACTAACATTACAAAGGGTTTTCAAAAAACTAGTGTATACTCGTACAATGCAAACATTTTTGCTGCTGCTGATTTTTTACCATCATTTGTCACAGATCGTATAGAACCAGCAAATCTCGTTTCTGAGCTATCACACGTAGCTCATTCCGAAGTATGTTTAACATCATCTTCAGGTCAATCTGCAAAAAGTAGTATTAATAAAGAGACAACGTTACTTATTCCTGAAACTCCTAAAGCATTTTCTCCAGAAACTGTGCAACCTTACCCAAAAGCAGCACCAAAAAAGATAAATTTGACAAGACGAAGAAAAAGAAGAGCTGCTATTGTAACAGATACTCCAGAAAGAACTATATTAAAAAAGCAGCAAACAAAGAAACTTGAAAAATTGAGAATGAAAAAAAATTATCTACTTGTCAATTCCTTCCAAATATTAATAAAGAGTGTGGTAATAAAGAGACTCAGTTACAAAGTATATTTAAAAAAATTAAGAAACAAACAAAAAAACTAAGAAAGAAATTTTAAAGAAACCAATCTGCCAGTCAATCCTTTGCAGATCATGGTAATAAGAAGACTCTGCTGCTTAGTATATTTAAAAAAGTTAAAAAACAATCAAACAAAAAAAAAACTACAATGAAAAAAAAATTAAAGACAAGTGCAGAACACGATTATGCTTTTCTGGTATGTTGGGAAACTTATTCTGAAACTCTACCACAAGAAAATTGGATCAAGGTTGCAATCAATGATCTTATTCAAAATGTGATTCACATTCTGGTCAAAATTATATTTGTATTAACTGCAAAATGGAAATTGAAGACTAACATAAAGTGTTTAGTTATTATTATATCTTAATATTAACAAATTTTGTTTTAAAATGTTTTTAAAAAGTTGTGTTTAGTTTTAAGATTGAAAAGTTTTGTTTTGTTTTTATTTTAGTTTCAAAATTATTAGTTTTTATATTCATATCTTAAATAATTTGTTAAAATTGAAAGTATATACTTAAGTTATAAGCAAGCTATGTTTTGGCTATATAAAAAAGTTAATAGTTGTCACAGAAATGCATTCATTTTTTTTATTGCTTAACTTACCCCACACAATTGCTCAACTTACCCCGCATGGGTAGGTTGAGCAGCCTAATAAATTTTAAGTTATATTTTCTAAAACGAATCGAAAAAAGTTTTTTTGTCTCAACCATTTTTTAGCAGATAAAATTATCTTTCTAATAGTGAAAAAATTATGTTAATCCGATGTACCGTTCAAGAGATCTGTTAGATTTAGTAAAAATTGTCGAATTAGCCCCGCCCTACCCTACTAATGATAAATAAATTTATAGGGATTTCTCAATGCCTTTATTGGCCAATGTTAATGCCGATATTTACGACATTTTTTTGTTTGAGTTCTAATGGTAAAATAAATAATGGTAAAAAAAAATCAAAACAATTAGTATCGGCCAATACTATTCAATGCTGATGCCACTGTACCGGTACATTGGCATCAGCAATGGGTTTTATATAATCAATTACTTAATTGCTAATTTTTAATAACCACTGTTTTTTTTTTTAAATCTAGTTGAACGGAGCAATTTTTTTAAGTTTGTTTTTTTTGCATGTAATTCCAAGAAACTGTTCGATAAATAAAATTAAAGCTATAACATATATAGTAAAGTGGGGTCAAATGGAATAGTTAAGGGTTTTAATTATTTATTTTTTACGGAAGAAAAAAAATTTAATTTTTTTTAAAGTTGTAGAGAATATTGAGCTGTATTTGAATAAATAAAAATAAAAAAAAAATTTTTCTTTTTTCAAATAAAACTTTACTTGATTAAAAAAAAAATTTATTCCATTCTACACTTACATACGCGTATGTAAGTGTAGAATGGAATAATTTTTTTTTTTAATCAAGTAAAGTTGCGTATTTCATTCTCCCCGTACGGAGAAAATGAAAAACGCAAATGGAAGCGTAATTAAAACAATACTTTGATAAAGTATTGTTTTAATTACACATACGTTTTTTTAATAAAGTCTTCATTAAAAAAACGAAAAGCAATCAACAATAACAATTAAAAAAACAATCAAATACAACATTTAAAAAATCTATTAAATAAAAAAACTTTTTTATTCTTGTGATAATGTTGAGTCGTTTAGAGGTACAAAAGGTTGAGTTGAGTTTTCAGTTGTGGGACAATTTTTGGTGCTATAAAACTCTGCGCCTTTTATGTATCGCTTTGGTATGCATCTTTGATATAACCAAACCTTGCAATTTGAATTTTCACACTGCTACCATTCACTATTTTGACTTGCTGAAACTTTGCCTAAAACTTTTCGGCACTTTTTATACTTAAATTGGTTTGCAGCTAATATTTTGGCTAGACTTGTTGCTTGGTTTATTTGATGTTCGCCATTAAAGCTAACCTAATGTTGTTTTTTAGCTTGCTTTGCTGCTTTGTTGCTCTTAGCATTTCTCAAACTTTCAAGTATTTCAGGTTTGTTGAGACACTCCCCTTCGAATCTTGACACATCTACATTTTTCTTTTTTTTGTGTGTTAATGTGTTGAATACGAAACATTTGTTGCAAAGCTGCTGCAAGCGATTGGGCTGATTGCAGTTGTTTTTTAACCTCTTTTTTAATTTCTTTTTAAACATCTGGAGTTACTACAATATTAAAGGTTGTTTGCAGACAAGGTGACTTCTGAGGTGACTTTAGAGCTGATGCTATGTGACATATGTTGATGCTAGATGTTGTTGGTGTAGATTCAGAGGGCAGTTTGTGGTGCTAGCATTGGTGATGGTACTATTATAGATTCTGGTTGTTGAGATGAACCTGATTCAGGTTCATCTCAGCCAGGTTCAGATGACTGTGTTTCAAACGTATTAGCAATTTGCAACTTTGACTGATTGATTTTGTTGATGTCGAGTGGAAACAAGCCAGTATTCTGAAACCCAGTGACTATTTGGGTACGCGTAAAAACTTCACCAGAGCTGAAGAGTTTTTTTTGCAGGTGACTAAAAACTTCTTTTGATAAATTGCTGAACTTTGTCTCTGCATAAAACTGTTGAAAGAACTTGCACCAAACTCTTTTGACATGGCAATAAACACCAACATCTCGTGGCTGCGGAATGTGAGACGAGTGAGCTGGTAAGCAAATTAACAAGATATTATTTTCGATGCAAATAAGTACGACCCGATAAGTTACATAAGTCACATACCCATCTGCGACTAAAATATGAATACCTAAAATTAGATAACTATAATTAAATAGATGTAATCCTTTGTAAATGTGAAATTAATTAAATATAATTAGCTTAAACTAATTACCTGGAATTTCCTTAATGGTGGGAACATACATTTTAGTGAGTCATTGCACAAATTGCTTATCTTCCATCCATCCGGATGGAGATATGGCGTATATGGACCACTTACACACCGATCTCTGTACTGACGTTTTTTTGATTCAAAAAAAATGTATGGAGCAAGACGATTTTCAGCAGCATTAATGCAAATTCCAACAGTATAATGGATTTTTTCATTGTTGCCAACCAATTTCAATGGCCACTTTGCACCACGCGAGAAAACTAAGTGTTGCTTACCTTGATCATCAGAGAAGCCAATTTCATCAAAATTCCACAAATGACATGGAGTGTTTTTGTTGATACCTGCTATGTTGAATTCTCTTTGCAGTGTGTTGAAATATTTTGCTACTATTTCTTGCGTGCAAGAAGCGGCTCTGAGTGATGATATATTGCCTATAGCTCTGATGC